AAACGCATTTTTTTTTTAAATTTTAAGAGAACCGGAAAAAATTTTTATTTTTTTTGTTGTTGTTGTTGTCGTTGTTACAAATTAGAAAATTTTCAATCGTTTAGTTTTTTTTTATTTTACAAAAATGTTTCTCTCTCTCTTTTTTTTTCTTTTTTTTAAGTTGTAGTTTTTATTCCTGTTGGCATGTTTGTTACCATCGCGTGCGCGTGTGTGCGTTTGTCGTATAAGATTTATATACAAATATAAATATAATGATTGTTTTATTTTCTTTCTTTTTGTGCAAGCAGTCCGGATACCTGAGGACCCATTATTTAAATACGAAGGGAAGTCCTCGATAGATGATTATTATTATCATCATCGTTATCATCATCAAAACAATCAACATCAAAAATATTATTTTAATATTATTATTATTATTATTATCATTATTGTTTATTAGTTTTTTATTTCATTGTAAAAAAAAAAAAAAAAAGAAAAAAGAGAAAAGGAAAAAAGGAAAAGAAAACGTTTTAGTCTTCCAAGTAGTTAAATATTTGGCGTTTAAAAGTAATAATCGTTTATTATTATTATTATTATTATTATTATTATTTATTTATTTATTTTTTTTTTTTTAAATGAGATAGAAAGAGAGAGAGTGAGAGAGAAATAGAAAGTCAAGATATGATGATATGTTTTCCATAATCGGTACAATTTGAAAAAAAAAAAAAGTTTTCTGCTACATGAGAAACAGATTCGATTTTTTTTATAAAAAAAAACAGTCGTGCCAACATGATTTTTCCTAAATTTTTTTTTTTTTTTACGTTTTGTGTAATGTTTCGCCGAAGGTTTTTTTTTTTTTTTTAAAAAGGTATCTCTCTCTTCCTCTTTCTCTCTCTGTCTTTTTAATTCTTGTTTTTTCTTCGTGATTCTTTCACCTTTCCCATCTTCTTTCTTTCTTTCCCGTTTAAAAAAAATTTATGTAAAAATAAAAAGTTGACATAGTATTAACAATAATAATAATAATAATAATAATTACAATTACGAATAGGATATAAATCTCTGTTTTTTAATTATTATTTAAATCACGTGACGTACGAATGGAGAGAGTTTCAATCAAATTTAAATTGCGGTATGTTTTTCAAATGGGTACAAAAATAAATAATAATAAAACCGTTGCGAATGTGGTTTACGTGCGTTTGTTGAAAATTAATTAAACCGCGAAATAACAAACAAAAAAAAAAAAAAACCGGGAAAAATTTGAATATGTATTAATTAATTTTTTTTTTTTGTTGTTGTTGTTCTTGTTGTTGTTAAATTAAAATGCTTGAATAATCACATGTTGACGCTTATTAAATAATAATCGATTGGAAATTTGATTTGTTTCTTTTTTTTTTTTTAAATTTTTTTCCCCCAAGTGCGCGCGTGTTTGTGAGTGTGTGAATGCGCGTGTAATGAAAGGATTCGATTCGGATTTAATAATGATTTAAAAAAAAAAGAAAAAAAAATTTTTTTTCAAAAGGCACCACCCAAAACGGCGAGTGAATACACGCATAAGTAATAACAAAACGCCGCCATTTTGTTTTTCTTCTTCCCCGTCTAATTTTTTAATAAAAACGTTGAACGAAGAAGGGGGGAGGGGGGAAGGAATCGATGATTATGATGATGATAAATGAGGAGGGGGGGGGAAATAAATAATGAACGAGAAGCCTTAAATCATTGTTTTTTAACATTACGGTATCAGGCGAACATGATGTTATGGAGGAGGAGGTGTGTAAGTCGAGTCCGATCGGAAAACTTTGTTTTAAAAATAAATAAATATGTAATGATAATAATAATAATGTTTCATGCTTTGCGTTTTGCTTCGGGCTTTATGATTATTATTGGATTCGTACGTTTTGTTGGATTTGTATATTCGTCTGTCTCTCTCTCTCTCTCTTTGTCTGTCTGTCCGCCGCCGGTTTGTTTGTGTGCGTGTCAGTTTTACTGGACGTTCCGGTGCTCTCGAGCGCGCGTTCACGCATCAAAAGTTTCAATGACGTCATTGTTTTTGTTTTGTTTCGTTTTCGTTTTGTACTTCTTGTTCGTTTCGTAACAACATTTTATTGTTTACTTTTTTGTCCATCTTGATTTTTTTTTTTTTTTTTTTTTGGTTTTTTTTTTTTTCTTTTTGTTTTAGGAATTTAAAAGATTCGACCGAGATTCGAACGATAAATATCGATTGGCGAATCGAACGATTTTAATTTATCGTTTTGGTTTTATGTTCATTTTCTTCTTAGTCTTCTTCTTATTATTATTATTCTTACTTATGTATTTTCGTTATTTTGTTTAATTTTTTTTTTTTTTTCAATCCGAACGATTGATTGTTTAATCAATAATGTAAATACAAGTAAATGATTTCTTAGATTTTCTTTCTGTCTGTTTTTTTTTTAAACTTATGGCGTCATCAAGTGAGAAGAGAAAGTTTAATTCCAGGCCTTTACGTTTTATCATTAGGATTATTATTATTATTATTATTATTATTATTCCAAAGAGGTTTTTCCTGTTCCGAATTGTGAAATCGAATTTCGCCGCGAACTAAAAAAATGTACTTATAAAAAAAAATTAATTAATTATTCAAATCGAAATTTAGAAAATTAAAAAATTTTTTGACGACGACAAACGACGGCAAACGACGACGACGTCAAAACCCTCCCCAAAAAAATAAAAAATAAATTTTTTTTTTTTTTTTGGATTTTTCCCGGAAAA